TCTTCTTCTTCTTCTTTTTTGATCAATTAATTTGAAAAATGAGTTGACTTCTACACGTGAACGGATTGCACGTGGTTCTTCTTTTTGTTGCTCAAAATAAATGGAACGGACTTACTTGTTTTTTGCTGTTCKTTGAGACTCGGAACTTGTACTGACGTTTGCTGTTAACTGGTTCGGTTCAGTCGAGCGTGTCGAGGTTCCGGGAGTCGTCTTGAACGGAGTTTCGTCTGGTAGAGGATTTGCGTATAAATCGTCTCTGTGCGTAGAAACTCGGCTTTGCGAAGAAATTCGACTGTAGCGGCGTCAGCTCCGTGAGGTAGGAGAGATCCGTGAAACTAAAGTGAAGGAACTCACGAATTCCACAAGGCTTGTTTATTGTGTAAACGTTCGGCGAAGGTAGCTTCTAGTTGTTACAATGTTGAACCCCGTCGAATTTCTATGAGCTTATGAAATTACAAATACATGGTTTGCGATATAAAAGCTGATGTCACGTGACTGCGGGCTGTGGTACATATGTYAGTGACGTAAAGGAAATTATGGATACGAATTATACTATCTAATAAAAAACTATAGGCAGATGCCGTTACAGGACGGCTGCATCGACTACAACTGGTGGAAATTCAAATGAAATACACTCATTGAGACAGGTAGCACCGCCCCCCTCAAGACACGCGTCAGTGGTGAAACCAAGATCCTGAAAATCCCAGATCAATGGCTTTATCAACGAAACTCCATTATAGCGAGGAAGAAAAGTCTGCCACTATTGCAAATCAGCCTGCATATCTTCATTAACTTCGAGATTGTGACGRGAACCCGAATCCATATTCCTAAGCCTGTTCAAAAGTCTCGACATAAAAATACGTCCAGGTTTAACASAAGCGGTGACAAACGATAGCTTCCCGAGTAAAGATTGTAATTGTCGCTGAGTGCGTCGTTTCGAACAGTGCAACATACGGTGGTTTTGTTTGCWGACGCGACAAACATGATTAGCGGCGTAGCTTGGCGCCGATTTGTCACACGCGCAAGAAGCTTCGTAATTCCATTTCTTGCACGCTTTCTCTTGCTCGGGAATCTTGCTACTCTTTGAAGGCGAATTGTTAAAATTCGGGTTGTTATACGTTGCTGGCTTGTCCGACTTTGCTGCCTTTAAATCTGAATGCCGAAAGAAAATTG